TTTCCTCCAAACCAGGATTTTTCATTCGCACAGTGTGTCTCGATGGAGGAGGAAAAGCCCTGGAGATTCCGCACGAGGAGGGGCTGCAAACCCAGCCCAGGGAGCTGCGGGGAGCAAAGAGCCCCCCTGAGCCAGGAAGGCGGCCGGAGATCCAGGCAGAGCTCAGAGCTGGTGGAGAAGCCTCATGGCAGGGAGAAGCCCCACAAGTGCTTGGAATGTGGGAAGGGTTTCAGCGGGCGCGTTCATCTGATCCAACACCAGGTGGTCCACACTGGGGAACGGCCCTACGAGTGTGAGGAGTGTGGGAAGAGCTTCTGCTGGAGCTCCAGCCTGATCCGGCACCAGAGGTTCCACACTGGGGACCGACCCTTTAAATGTGGGAAGTGTGGGAAGAGCTTCAGCCAGAGCGGCAATCTGAGTCAACATCAGAACATCCACACTGGGGAAAAGCCCTACAAATGTGGGAAATGTGGGAAGAGCTTCAGCCGGAGGGGCCACCTGATGCAACACCAGGTCATCCACACCGGGGACCGGCCCTACAAATGTGGTGAATGTGGGATGGGCTTCCAGCAGAAGGTCGCGATGCTGCAACACGAGAGGATCCACACGGGGGAAAAGCCCTATGAGTGTGGGGAATGTGGGAAGAGCTTCAGGTGCAGCTCTGGCCTGAGGAAACATGAGAGGATCCACACTGGGGAAAAGCCCTATGAGTGTGGGGAGTGTGGGAAGAGCTTCAGCATGAAGTGGCAGCTGACAGAACACCAGAAGATCCACACTGGGGAAAAGCCCTACAAGTGTGGGGAATGTGGGAAGAGCTTCAGAGAAAGCTGGGTCCTGATTCGGCACCAGGTGATCCACACTGGGGAACGGCCCCACACCTGCTTGGAATGTGGGAAGAGCTATGGGTGGCTCTCTGACCTGAGAAAACACCAGCGCATCCACACTGAGGAGAAACCCTACAAGTGCCCCCAGTGTGGGAAGAGGTTTCAAAGGAGTTCCGATCTCCTCGTACATGAGCGGATTCACACAGAGGAGAGGCCCTTCCGCTGCCCCGACTGCGGGAAGGGCTTCAAGCAAAACTCCAAACTCATCATTCACCGGCGCATCCACACCGGGGAGAGGCCCTACGAGTGTGGGGAGTGTGGGAAGAGCTTCTCCACGAGCTCAATCTTGACCAAACACCAACGTAGGCGCCACTAAGGGAAGCCCTGTGAGTGCCCCGAGTGCGGGAAGAGCTTCTTTCGCTGCTCCAGCTCCATCCCCATGGGAGGGGAGGATCGGCATTGGATGGTCCCCAGTTACCCCGCTGGGCAGAGCCCTGGTGATCTGTGGTCCTGTTGATCTGTGTTGGGAAGACACCTGGCTTGGAGGCTCCACATCTTCCTGGTTCCCCGGGAGCACCTAGATAAACCCAGCAGCAGGAACATCCATTGGGATGCAAATGAACAATGAGAATTCCTTGGGGAGAGCAGATTTGTCGACTTTAAAATCCCATAAAATCTTTTGCATTCAATCCTATCTTCTGCTGGTGTCAAGGAGTACTGAATGGTGTTGGAGGTAAGTTCCAGGTTGACTGGAATGAGGTATGGTGATTGTATCCCTGGTCTTTTCTGTTTATGCTGAATGATAAGTTTTGCACCTTTGGACTTGTCCTGAGAGTGAAGGGGGGAGAGAAGTGCAGAGTTTGTTCACAGACACTGCACTCACTCCTTCACATTCCTGCTCCTGCACTGTGTTGCCTGTGGATGGACAGACAGCGGGACAGAGCTCTCCATGGCTTTTAGTTAGTTTTAGCTAGCTGAGGCAAAGCAGTTCCCTGGACTGTGTTTTTTTTTCCCCTTTTCTTTGTACCTGTTATACCTGCTCTGCCCTGAACACCAGAAGAGCACTGGCAGCTCACACCTGTGGCCCACCGGGCTGGGCCTGGGCCGTGGCATTTCCAGCACTGGAGGGACTGATCAGAGACTGAGTGAGCCAAGCTACAGCCCACAGAAGGACTTTGTGAATTTGTCTCCCTTTTAGGAGCAGCAAGAGGTTTTATTGTTTAATATTGTTTAGGTTTTATTGTGTAATAAACAGTTTTTTCTACTTTTCTCCAAGGAGGTATTTTATTTTTCCCAAACTGGTATGGGGAGGGGCCAATTGAATCTGCTTTCGAGAGGAAACCCTTTGGGCCTTCTCTCCCAAATTTGCCCTGAACCAGGACAAGGTCTTTTCCAACTTCAGGGATTCCAGGATTTTGATTTCCTGTTGCCCAAGGGTGTCTTCCGCAGCCATATGGTAAAAAACTGGGGAAAAGACCAAGATTTTGGAGACAGTGGGATAGAAACTCCACCAGAAAAGGTTCTTACCTTCTACCCAGGGATGTGGATCCTCAGCCAGCATGGACACTGAAATCCTTTTCTTTTGGCCTTGATTTTCTTTTAATTTCTCTTCATCCCTTTAAAATATGCAACCTTGGGGTAAAAATAGACATTGAACTA